CCCTTTGCTCCTGTCGAGGTGTAAAGCTAAAATGATGGGAGTAAGTGGAGGGTGGAAGATCCTAAACCAACGGGAAATGTATGGGCTCGACGACCTCTGGTTAACCCGGGTACCTTGGCAAGAAAAGTGCAAAAATATTTACTCACCTTGAAGTGTGTTTTTTTTTTTTAAGCTTTTTTATTTATTTTGTTTTTATTTCTTAAGTCATCTTTTGAGATGGTTCAAGCTCCCGTCCGAGGTCTAATTATAGTAAGCAGGAAGAGGATGGAAGGGGAATGGGTTGATGGGGTGGGGTGGGGGGGGGCAAAAACGAAAACACCCTAAACCCCCGGATCGAGAAGGTGTTGAACAAAAAGGCTTTCTGTGACTCATGCACATTCTGAAATGAAGATCTGAAAAACGCTTACAAGCCCCCTCTGACTGGTTTGAAAGCGATTCCAGCAATTAGGAATTAATTCGGCATGGTCAAAAGGCGATTTCACTGCACATTATATCAAGTTATCCAAACTTCTGCAGAGTTCAAGTGGTGGAAATGGGCCGCTGGGGTGGAGGTAAGGCTGCAGGAAAGAAAAACAAGGAGTGTTCAGGAAAGGCAGAAGAGGGGAAGCCGTGGAGCAAGGGCCGGAGGGGTGGCGAGCCCACGTTAGCACCAGAGGTTTGCTGCTGTTGTTGCTGGAGGAGAGGGGAGCTTGGGGGTGGAGGGCAGGGGATGCTTTTGTTTTTCAAATGGGAGAAAGTACTAAAAATGTGCTGCGGGTCGTAGGTAATGGAGAGATGAGTTTTAATTAAAAAAGGAAATCAGTGGGCTTGCTGTCTGACCAGTACTTCAAGTACGGTATCAAGGGGAGGGGTGTGTGTGACCTTTCCCCAGTTAACGGCAGGATCCAGAGTTAGCCCAGGCAGGGCTGACCTTGGGATGATGTGTGGGGCCAGAGGCACCGGGAGGGTGTGGAGGGGGGGAATAAAACCGGGCTTTCACGCACAGACAGGCCAGCAATAAAACCATCACGGGGAGAGGCAGCCACCCACCCCGGCGGCTCATGGCGGTGCTGGCCATGGGGTGCACTCTCGGCACAGGTCCTGCGGTGCTTGTCAGGCCCAGCCGGAGCTCAGGCGTTGGGGTTGTTCTTCATGAGCTCCACGTCAGCATCCACCATCTCCCTCACCAGCTCCTGCAAGGAGGGAGAGAGGAAGATGAGGGCCCCAGTGCCGGGCACAAACAGGCAGCACATCAGGAGCACCCCAAAGCATGATGATTTCCCCCTGGCCCCTTGCAGCAGGACAAGGAGGGGATGGGGCTTTGCTGGGCTCTTCCCACAGCGGCCTTGGCCCTGGCATGTGTGTTGGTGCGCTGCTGTGCACCACGGGTGCCCATCGCTGCCGTGGTGGCTGCTATCTTTAAAGCAAGAACCTGCGCAGCGTCACCAAAAAGAGGATTTCTTGGTGTGCCTGAATCACCCCACACAGAGGTCCTCTCTCCCTTCCCCTCCCCATGGATTGCTTTTAAAGGACGCGAACACTCGGCAGGTACAAAGCACGCCAGAAAGGCCACTCACATCAAAGGTGACTCTTGGCTTCCAGTTCAGCTTTTGCCTGGCTTTGGTACAGTCTCCTTGCAGAAAATCCTGCGGAAAAGAAGAGAGAGGTGCTGCGAGAACCGTCCACCTTCCCCACCTTGACGGCCTCCCCGTTGCTCGTGCTTCCCCGCGAGCCGAGTGTGGCCGAGGCCACCGTCAGACTCTTCTAAGGACAAAATATTTCTCTTTAAGATGCAATTTTAGTGGAAGCTCATATGCCTATAAATCACCAGGAGGCAGCATCCTTTCACCAGGCTATTTCAGACCGAAAGAGTTATTCTTTGCTTTTGTGTGCGCGCGGGGTTTGAACTCCAGCCTTATAGCTGTATAATGGTGAACATTTTATAAGAAGTTGTCATATGTCTTAGTCATGCTATTGAATGAGCTGTTTCAAATTCTCTTTTCCCCTATTTGTTTAAATAATGTAAATCACAGAGCAAACATGACAACTAGTCACTTTCAAATAAAAATGTGATCACAGACAGATGATGCTGAAAGATTGTTATGAATATGGGTAATCATATGCAACAGTAGTAAGCATCTAGCTTTTGAATGCCTACATCTTTTTTTGCTACAGTATTTTGAGCATCCACATGCAAAGAAAAGCCTAAATATCTCATAAATGAAAAAAAAAAATTACCTTGAAACCATTACAGAAACCAAGACTTTGGTCATATTCACCTTACTGTTCAAGTATTGTAAAAAGTGCTACCACACCAAAACGATCCTAAAAGCAGTCATCAAAAATAATGCAACAAAATTAAATGGAGAAAAAAAGCTCCTTTGACTGCATTTCTAATTGAATGAAAAGGCTGACTGCATCTTCCTTTAAAATTTGAATACTGTGTTTAAATTGTTAGCATTTTCCAGCTGTATGTGTTGATATAATAAAATACATCATCTCTCCTCACAAGCTTCGTTTCTCTGTAGCAGCAAATACTAAAATTATATCTTTCTAGGTTTAAAGAAATCCAAACAAAACCAACTTTGTTACAGAACAACAAGGCTAAGGCTGAATCCTGCTCTTGCATTTGACTTTATGGTGGTAAGACGGCAGGCTTTCCAGAAAAATGCACGAACTGCCTTTCTTCTCCCTCTTCCACTCTCTGACCAGCAGCGGAGCTAACGAACATTTTCTGGCGGCAGGTTTTTTAACTGTACTGCCGCACACTACATTTTTCAGATGCTGTCTTTTGTGCATGTGTGGTTCAGGTCATGTTAACTTCCAAAATCACCTCATCCTGTGCAGTAAAATGTAGGAAATTCTTCTTCATAATTGTGCTCCAGAAAGCTAGACAGCTCGCTTCCAGGAGCGGAGGAAATCCAGCAAAGGAAATATTGCACCGAAGAAGGGGATGTGGAACAAACACGTCTGCCGAGACTATGCCAGGCAGCATTTTTACTAGTTCAGTCTTTAGGCTAAAAACATTTCAGCCTGCCTTCAGAAAAGAGTAAACAGATGGATCAGAACAAAACGATATGAAAATAAAAAAGTGCCGTGATTTCCTTAAATTAGACTAAATGATTTCCTACTGCAGCCCTGTAATGGGTTTTTAGAAACTGCAGCAGACATTTGAGGCCAAGTCATGCAAAACCGCATCAACTTGAGGGATCCCCCGGAGGGTCATGTGAATATGGATTGCAAAATCTGGTTTGAAATGGGAAAGACGCCCACTAACTTTGATAAAATTTGGATCAGACCCTAATGTGCTCGTGGAGGTATGCCTTTTATCTGGAGTTTGGTTTAATTTACATTATATGTGTGTGTATATATGTGCCTGGAAACAAGGAAATCCTTCTTAAAATAATAATTTCGGTATAAAAACAATTACCTTTTATTCAGTCCTAATTCAAGCCATTAGCTAGAAGTGAGGTGTTTTAATACCACCTAATTTTAAATCATAAAAGCCGTATCATAAAACTTAGAGTTTTATTTTTATAAATGCTGTGTAAGTAATAATTTTACATTGACAATCTTTATGTCAAAAACATCCTTTGAAATTGAACCTTATCTAGGATACTGGCTTCCCATTTTAAAAAATATGGACTGGGAAGAAGAGAATGAATTGCCATCGCCTGTGGTATGTAGCTGCATTCTGCTTTCGAACAGCTTGGGAGCACTCTTTTAACTTTCTTGGACAAATGCTTTTTGTTAAAACAGTTTATCTAAAAAAATACTTTACCTAATTCCAGCCCTTCATTCAAAAACATAAACACTCAGCTGCTGAATAGGCCAAAATAAGGTTGAGGGGAGGTTGCAAATCAATAAGAGTGAAGTTATTTGCAGTGCTGGATTATACACAGAGATAACACAAACGACTAGTGCATTAAATCCATTTAAGTATTAAAAAAAAAAAAAAGTATTTTTCCTTTAAAAGTTCACATGCTTTAACAATGATGCAGTAAAGGTATTATGGCATAATCTGCAAGCAAAAAAAAAAATAAAAAAAGAAAAAAGAAGATTTAATATATATGATAATACAAATTCCCCAGCTGACTTAGGTTAAAAGATTTTAAATGACTCTCCTGAAGAAGTTTGTGTACTTTTGAGAAACACTACTTTGTAGATAGATTTACTTGAAAATAGCGTTACGGGCAAAATGTCTCCTAGGCACTTTTCAAAAGGTTCTCTTACAGAAGTTACTAGGTACAGAGATCAAATGAAACCATAATATTAACACCATATTACACCTAAATTCAAGGTTTGATTGTATTCTTGTTACTCAGTATCAGCACTGAATGGAAATTGTGACTGGAACAAAGCTATTCCTGATTAAAGGATTGTATTGCAGTCATGTTTCCTGTATTTTTCTACAAGTAGCTCATAATATGAAAACAATAAGGTAATTACAATAAAATAAGAATATTTTAAAAAGCTTCTCTTGGAACAGAATGACTGCTTGTTTATATTATTTAAGTCTTTCACTGAAACCAGAGATGCATCTGTCAGGCTTCCAAAAGGAAAAAATCCACAAAAAAAATCCACAACCCGAAAAAACCTCTGGCATGCTGATCATCAAAGTGTATTGATTTTTCAGTGTCAGGGCTTCACTTTATGCAGGTACAACGAGACCAGAAAGCAAAGAAAGAAGAGGTGAGGTTCCACGGGAGAAAACCTGGATTTTGGGGTGGGGGGGAGGGGGGTGTTCTCCAAACCCAGCTGCTGCTGCTGAATGTAAATGAATGTAAAGTGCTGAGTATCCCTATTCGCGATGGAAAGGCACCTGATGAAATGACACCACTTTATGTTTTGTATTCCCGCAGGATAACTTTTTCTCTGGTGTTGTGCTTTACATACTGACAGGAAAACAAAGCCCTTTGACTCTGTGAAAACCTTGAGGATTTAGACACTGAGCTGAGAGTCTGCAAACCTGAAAACACTGATTAAGGCTTTCTGTTGTTTTTACGGTACTCAGATCATGAACATAAAATTAAGTCTTTGCTTTTAGTTATCCATTTGGGAAGGAACAAGCCCTTATTTTCCATGCAAATACAGCTAACATAAGTGGATAGTAATGACAAGTTTTACCTGAAAGCTAAGAGTTGGAAACAACATCCAGGTAAACATTTAAAGGGAAGGAAGATGGAAAGGACAGTAATCAATGTCTCTGTTGCCAATTGATACAAGAGTAAACTCTCCTATGGCTTTATATGCACCTCACCGTCTTATGACTGCCTCTCAGAGAAAAGAACAAGTTTATCCAATGTGAGCTTTTCTGTTTTACCTTTTCTGTAAATAAGGATGCGTAACTCTGTAGAAAATACCCCTTTATTAGTAAATCTGATCTTATGATTATTCAATTTTATTGTCCAAATGCACACACACAAATACATACTGATAAGCAGAGAGAAATATGTTATGCAATGCAGTAAGGCATTTTTAAAGCTGGTTTTAAAACCATGAGACAAAAATGTAAAGTATTTTAATGTAAATATCACATTTCCCAAGCTCTTGTTCTGAGTGTCATCACAACTCCTATTTTGACTCGCACAGTGATTGATCTGGTTTCAATGTGCAATGTATCACTGTCTCATTCAATTAACTTTAATTGAAGATTTAAAGCCTCAAGACAATGTGAGAAAAAGGAGATAGCGTGGCCTGAAAGAAGGCCAAGGCTTCCTTTATTACTAGAGCTCAGCTGATTCCCTTTAAAATGTGCCTTTGCTGAAGCCAGCGCCGAGCGCCAGCTTTTGCTCTGTCTTACACCAGAATAAAACTAAGATCAAATCCTCAGTTAAAACACCTGCGATGGAATTGTGCCCAGCTCTGCTCGCTGCAGCAGAGACAAGGCTTTACCTCTAAAAATAAACAGACTTGATCTGAGCACACAGCAGTTTTACTGCATCTGAAAAGCGGCCAGGGTTACATTCACAATCAGCGCGACTGTTTGGAAGATGATTTGTTACATCAGAGCTCCCATAAGCAAAGAGCACAGACCCAGCACGGTGGAGGCTGGGGCTTGCGTGTTTAGTCTTGCACTCTTTTGCTGGAGAAGTTTTGTCAGGAAGAGTTTCAAGAGTCTAGGGACCAAAGTTTCCTGAAAACCCTGCTTGTGTTTTATTTTCCTTACTTCCTTCTTAAAACCGTTGCCTTTCAGTTTTAACTCATCCCATTAAAAGAAAAATCAGTAAATATAGCTACTTGATTACACGACATTGGCTTGCAGTTTTGCATTTTCACCATTATCATAGAATCATGGAATAGTTTGGGTTGGAAGGGACCTTTAAAGGTTATCTAGTCCAACCCCCTTGCAGTGAGCAGGGACATCTTCAACTCGATCAGGTTGCTCAGAGCCCCGTCCAGCCTGGCCCTGAACACTTCCAGAGATGGGGCATCTACCACCTCTCTGGGCAGCCTGTTCCAGTGTTTCACCACCCCCATCATAAAAAATTCCTTCCTTGTATCTAGTCTAAATCTACTCTCTTTTAGTTTAAAACCGTTACCCCTTGTCCTATCACAACAAGCCCTGCTAAAAAGTTGTATCTCAGTGATGTATACATCAAAGTTTGTCTTATGAAAAAAGTCTCGCCTTTCGTGCACCTTTTGG